CTCCGCAGCTAATTAAGTGAGGCTGGGCAGAGCTCGGTTTCATCAGGACACCATGAGCGTGCAGGCGTGTGGTGCAGTGGGTTGAGCGTTGGTGTTCGGATCAAGGGAGCACAGGTTCAAACCCCACTGCAGTTACCATGTCGTTGTGTCCCTGGGCAAGACACTTCACCCCAAATTGCCCACAGTATTGAGTATGTAAGTCGCTTTGGATAAAAGCGTCTGACAAGTGGCATGTAATGAGCCATTGTCAGAGCAGCGATACCAGGACAACATAGGGACTGTCAGACAGAGTAGGGGGTCTACAAAATACTCCATTAGCTTTACAATTCAGTTCTGTCTCAATTGGAGCCAACCGTCTGCCAACATTTCCGACCTATATTAACTTCTGGTTTTTTCGCCGGCTTTAAATGAAAACAATCAAAACTAAAATGCCTCTATTATCCCTTCATCAGAAAAAGGTAGAAAAAACAGACAGTTGTATTTGCTGTAGCGAATCAGCACAGAGCTCTGCTAATGCAAGTCCTTTAGAAGAGGGTGCCTTGTTTGCACAGGTGGCATTGGCTGCTGCCTTGTTTTCCCTTTGTCCAGAATCAAGATCTTAAAAAAAGACATCTAATTGGCTTCCAAGAACAGCAATATAAAAATGTCATTACTTTAAAAGCTCAAAACCCCACAAATGCCTAATAGAGTATCATTAAGAAGCCTTGATTGCAGAAAATTGTACTTTCTACAAATGTGATTAAGGACAAAGTCCTTTTATACTCAGTCTTAAAAGTTAACTGATGATACTCTGCAAAGAGGCTGAGGTCCACAATCATTGCTGTCAAAACGTTGCCAAATCTGGAACAACTCTAACTGAACTTGCCAAATACAAATACTTGTACTTCTTTGTTTTTGACCTCAAGTTCGACTAGAAAGGCATTTCAGGGACAGCCATCCAAACTAACCAATGTACCATTAAACAAAACAACAATAATGAAGAATGCACTGCTGATAAAGCTATGAAGGAAAATATATCATAATGTAGAGAAAATATCTAAAGTCCTGCAGACACAACATGTCTAACTGTAATGTGCTCTGTGTGTAGACTTCACTGTAAGTAGGCCAAGCATCAGCCTGAGCCGTCTACAGCGAAAAGTGAAAATGGAGCCTCATGTTAACATTTGACGCAGAACTGCTGTTATAATACTAACATATCATTTATAAAGCCTATCAAGATCTTTGCAATTGAGCAGGGTTTGGCTTCGTTATCTGTCATTATGGATCTCATCCAAACACTAACCAGAGTTCACAGTTTGTGAGAGCAGCTTCTCTGTCAAACAGACCACATGAAAGAAGAGACTCGCACAAACAAAAACACGAGCGGCTACAGGTTTCCATGCAGCAGCACTGACCAGAAGTCACCAACAACTAACATGGTAAATCAATGCAGCAAGGTGCAAGTAATGACTTCTATTATATATGATTATTTAAACAATTATTTAGCCTGAAATATTATAGAATGCTAATTATTTACCCAAGCAAAAGTCCTCCAGTCAATACCAAACCAAATGTCAATTTTAAATTGACATTTGAGAAGCATGACGAGCAAAGGTTAGGCATTTATGATTCATAAGTTACTTCCAGGATAAACAAATTATTGCAGTATTAGCAAAGCAACTTTCTGTTGATTGTGGAGCTGAAATTTGCTTGATTTGACAAAATGTGTTTCATTTTTATCGTTTTATGTGATTTGGAATATTTTTAAGTTTTAGACTGCTGGTCGAACAAAACAAGACTTATGTCACCATGGAAGTTTGAAATATTGTATAGATGCAGCTCTAGTTGACCAATAGAACTGTTGTTTATCGCCTGATTGGACCACAATTTAGGACATCATTAAAGGATCCCCACCTTGCTTGTTGCGGTGGCCATAGACCCCGGCACCACAGGAGTGTTGGTCACCTGCACTGACAGGTATTTGTTGTGTATGAGCGGCCAGGCTCCTTCCACCTTACACGTCTGGAAGTCGTCGCCAAATGTCCGGAGGTGTGGGTCTCCGAAGAAGCCACAGTGGGTGTAGTTGGGAGGAGCCGTGTTGCGGGGGAGACTGCGCTCATAGTGGCACATTTCCGGGCCATCTGAACGCTCCTGGCTGTCAGGTGTGAGGGGTGGGGGTGGAGGAGGAAGTGCGGTGCGGGCATGTGGTTGGGATGTGGGCCCCTCCCTGGAGCAGTTGTGTTGGCTCATTAGATCCTCTATGCCATGCTGGGCAGAGTGGTACGCCAAGTCCCCCCTGCAGGTTCGTGCAGTCCGCCGCACACAGCTGTTGTACGCTCGCAGCGCAGTGCAGAACTCCTCCTCCGGTCCAGAGTTCGAGGTGGAGGCCCAAAATTCCGAGTTACACTTCAGGATCTTACACTGCAGGCTCACTGTCAAGGAGGAACAAGACAGTTTTAACACAAGAAGCAAACCAGATGGACACAATGTTATTCAATGACATGATAGTTTCACAGAAAAGCTATTAATAGTAGTCTGTTATTGATGGTAGTTTAGTAACACAGATATATATAATACTAAATCTAAAACCAAAAAATCTGACGAATCATGAATGTTCACACAGCTATCGTTGGCTGCAGTGTCAAATGAAGTTTTCTTACATTACAGCAGTAATTACTTTGCCACATACTTTGTTTTGTAGATTAACTAGTTGGCATCTTGTCAAAAAAGCTTTAATGCGAGAGAAAGAGGATAAAAAGCTTATGCACTATTATATGTTGCTGCTGAGTTGTGATGGTACACCTTGAAAAACGACAATTAATATCTATAGCTACACAAATCTATACATTTCCATAGCATGAAACACACAAACAACAAACAAAACCATTTTTTTTTTTAAATAGTGAACAAAACACAGGCCTGAACCTCCCTTGGGTAAACCAGGATATATGATAACTTTGCTGTGTATTGTAGAGAAGTGCATTGACCTTTCACACCCTTTTGGTTCATGTAAAGTAAGAAAAGGCCTTTTGGGATCCTAATCTACACCTTTAGTGATAATATGCTGCTTGACCTTAGATTGTTGTCTCCTGCTTTATTTCCACATCCGGCCACTTATTAACACAAATGTTCTTCAAACATGTTTCAGGATGCCCTGTTGCCACACCATGTTTGAATAGTATTACCTTTGACTAATAAAGCATTAATTTAAACAGGCAGTGAGAGGTTTTTCCCAGTGTCTCAAGGGGGGGAGCCATATCAACATTTTGAAGTCACACTTTAAACAATATCCCTCCTGAAAGCTTCACCGCAGCTCTCTACAACCCCCGTATCACCTCTCCGTTTACCACCCATTTGATAGATGGCAATAAACTAATCTTGATCTCAGCTATCAGTGCATTAGCACCTTGTTGTTTGACGGTAAGTGACTTCAGAGGAAAACTGATAAGGGATTGGCACACATGCAAGGTGAGCTGAATGAGGTTTCCCCAGTGCAGAAACTAACCAACCCACTGCAATCATCCCAGTCTTAAATGACAAGTTTATTAAGTCAATTTAAACACAAAAATGGGGATGTCTAATATGATATCACACTGCCATTGCAGCAGTTCACATTACTTTTCCCCAAAAACATTTTTAAATAGCTTTAATGCTGGACTTTAAACTGTTAAGCATGCACATTTAAGCGTAATTCAACTCTCTTGGAATTCTTTCGGGGTTTTTTCAGTTTCATGGGTGAATACACTTCTTTAAATGAAAGTCCTTCCTTAAAAAGATGACCTAAGTTAAAGTAAAAAATAAACACAGATACTTTCAAGGAGCTCTGTGAAATACTGAGGCATGCACCATCCCCCAAACAAAACAAGGGTTGAGGGCTACAACAGCCCCCAAAAGACCCCTCACTTTGTTTTGTCTTCCATTAATAAAATAACGTCCTGTGAAATAAAACCCTGACAACAACTAGGCTACTTAAACTAGTCAAATGTTGTGCAGTAACGACATTCTTCTTCACTTTCAAGCCTGGTGTCATATTTTCCTAACTTTCAACCTTTTCCAGAGCAATTTGCCCTAAATATGTGCAATTTGTAACCAACCAACTGATTTGCTGCGGTGAATTATACATTTTTGGCAGTTTTTATTTTAAATGCAAGCTTCAGCAGAAGCCACTCTTTTAGGTGCACTATGTAACAGTGTTGGAAAGTAACTAAGTAGGCCTACTTAAATACTGTGCTTAAGTACACATTTTAGATACTTGTACTTTACCCAAGTATCTTCATTGTATAACTCTTTATGTGTATACTCTACTACATTTTGGAAGCATATTTTGTCAAAAATATATTTCACATATTTATTTATTATTTATGAATTCAGATTTTGACACACAATATTTAGGAATAACTTGTTTTATTTGGTCTAGATTAAACCATCCAACATTATATTTAAGTAACTAAAACTATGAGTGGGTTAACAGGAAATTAATTGGCAGCAATTTTGCTAAGTAGCTGCTTTTCCTTTAAAAAAAATAAATATATATATATATATATATATATATTAAAAAAATTGAGTTTAACTTTTAATCCTAATACTTTAAGTACATTTCCCAATCGTACTTGACATTTAGTATTTTTACAGTGTGGTATTAGTTGACTTTTACTTAAGTAAAGATTCTGAACTTTTTCCACCACTGTATGTACTCTTCCATTGTTCAGTTAAATATATCGGCTCATAAATTGTGACCTTACCAAGCAACTTTGCAGCCTACGTTGAGAAAGTAGTTCGTTAAACAACGATACGTTTCGACAATAACGTTTAACTTGTCATTTTGTTTGGTAAACCTTTTAAGTTTAAACATTTATATACAGTCTATGCATGGTAAAAACATGTTCGTGTGGGTTTTTAAAAAAACGTTTTCATTTAAAAGTATAAAAAGAGGCATCTTACCGGTTGGGAAGAGTGAGAGAAACACCGCGAGGACTCTGCACACGTCAAGCGCCGAGGGTCTTCCTCTTTTCCCCATAACCATCCATCCAGCTCGGGGTCGCACTTCACTCCTCTCCCTGGTCAAACCCGATGAAGGAAGGACAGAGGAGAAGAGTTAGAGCCGCCGTGAAAACACACAGAAAAGTCCATAAAAGGTGCCTGGAGTCGGTCCTGTCTTCTCATTACTATCTTTAAGAAGTTGTTGTTGTTCGGTGCACCGTGCGGCTACAGCCGGGGACGCTAGCTAACTCGCAGTGCGGGACAAACCTCGAGCAGCCGGGCAATCCGTCTTCCTTTTAGGGGAGTGTCGACAAGGTGCAGCCTCTGCGGGCCAGCGGACACACTGAGCCAATCACATCCGCCTGTTCTGCCCTTAAACCCCCTCTCCAAGTTTCAAATTACAACTCAATGTGCAGACTTGTTCGACGACGACCGTCTTCGCGGCCCACAAAGTAGTGGTGCACAACGCCGTGTAAAAGGGGCTTGATTTGCGGCTAAGATCACAACAATAACCTCTCTGTGAAGGAAAAACCTGGAGAGAAAAGCAGTGGCATCCCCCCCCCCCCACTAAGCATGTAAACAGGAGGTAAGCTACCAACAATATAAAACAACACCACGTTTATTCCTAAAGAGCTGTTAATAATGTGCTTCTACCGTTCATATCAGCACACATAGCCTTGTATAAATAATGGACCCTAAAAATAGGTTTAAACTTACTTCATGTTTAATATTGAGGCTACAAGCAAAGCTAACCTCTTCAACCCCTCATACCCACCACTGTAGGTCAATCAAACTCACCCAGTGCAGCCAAAATCTACACAAGTTTATTTATGTCCTAGTGGGGGTCCCAATGTTTCTAAAGATGCCAAATTTGTCATACTGAATGTTGAAAATGTACACAAAAGTGGTGCTGAAGAACATTCCAATTTGATCAAATGGGGAAACTACCCGCATGCAGTCTCCAGTTTGAATATTTCACCAAGTGTACACATCATGTCTGACATTTGAACAAGCTGTTCTATTATAAGGGCTGCCTGCAACTAGCTATTATTTTAGTTATCGATAAATCTGCTCATTGTTTTATTTATTACTTATTTTGTCTATTAAATGTGAGACAATCAAAGTTTACCAAAGCCAAAACTAACATTTTCAATTTGGTTGTTTAATCATGCCAAGAGGCCAAAACCTATATATTTAGTTTACCATTATACATGACAAAGTAAAGCATAAAATCCTCACTTTTGACAAAGTAGAACCATAGCCAATTATTTTAACCAATTCTCAAAAGAGTGGCCAACAGGGTTTTCTGTTGCTTGAGAAATTGATCACCCAATAGTTTTAGTGTGTCAGACTATCAGACACACTACAAGCTAGGAAAATACCAACAATAACTGTTTTTTAAGGGTTGTAAGGTAAATTAACCTTCAACACATAATCAATCAAATCAAACCAAATACCACAGGAAAAAAGGTAAAGAACATTAGCTTGAACATTTTAAAAGCCACTGTGAAATATTATGCCTGTAATTATATAATATAAAACTCAACATCATCTGTGTGTTCTCAATAAAACCTATAGCGCTTGATGGAAATATTCTACTTTTCAGTGATGGCAATACTTTCCATTAACCCAGCAGCATGTATTTAACTTGCAAACCATACCACAATGTGTTGCTGCAGTTTAAACGTCACATCAGTAAATGAAGTTATCAAAGCCAATGTGAAAGGCGGCTCTAGGAGTGATTTGTCTTTTGAGTAGTGATAAAAATGCCGGACTTGTAAGATAGTAGTTTTGGCATGTTGGCTTAAAGGATTAGAGAACATTTCCTTTACTGGGCTGAAGAGCAGATGATCTACTACTCTTAAATGCATACAACCTCCATTGAGGTTGTACAAATGACACATCACCTCTGACTTTGACTACAATTTAAAGCAACATTAAATCAGAAAGATGGCCGGCTGTACAGTATTTTTCCATAGAGCGTTGAATGTCTTTGTGAATGCTGTCCCTCTCGTGGATGATGGATACGTTCATGTACAATGAGGTCTGAGCCTACACATGTTTTCAACAAGGGTGGCCCCGGAAAGACTCATTCCCCACTCTATACCTAACATTCCCATCTGAAATGAATGACTGCAGCTGTAAGGCACAAGCTGCTCTGTGATATGTTTTGATGAACTGTTAAATATTTTTGGTGTTTAGTAGCAACATTGGATAAAGAACCAAACTCAGGAATGACATTATAAGGGCTTTTGATGCAGATATCTTGTGATTGATTTAGTCGCCTAAAAAGCTCAAAATCCTTGTGTATATATCACATCTTGAAAATATTGTTGCAGATTGAACATTTGAAACCTGTTGCAGTGAGCTTGCAGACAAAGGTGAAACATGTCTGAATATTATTCAGTATCATGGGTTTTTATGACCACGTTCATATTATTTGTCAATTAATTGACTGTGTTAATGTCTTGGTTGACTAAGACATCTTTAGCCAATTAGTGGTTTATGAATTGTCTTTTTTATTAAGTCATTCGTCATCAAAAGTTAATTTGCATGCATTTCTGTTTAAAGTAAGCTCTTTCGTCTTTAGTAATGGACATTAAGAGTTACGTGTGCATGACGGCCTTTCTCTGAGATTAAAAATGAAACTGGAGAAACAAATAATGTTACATTTTTATATCAATGGAAAATTACTTATTTAGAAGTCCATGACCCATTTCTGTGGTTAGGATATTTATTCCTTGTTTAAAAATATGATTATTTTTATCATTTCAACTGTTATTTAGTTAATTGTTTTCGACAACAAACTGCCACTATATGGATAATCAATATAATCGGAAAAGTAATTTATTTAGCATAAATGCCAAACAGTCTCCGGTTCAGCCTCTCAAATGCAGGGATTCACTGTGTTTCTTTGTTTTATATATTAGCTCATACTTACTTTAAATAAAATGTCCACAGATTGGGAGCGGTTTGTTGTACAAAGGAAGCCATTTGAAGACATCACCTTGAGCTCTGACATCTGACGGCCATTTTGACAATTTTCTTACATTTTATAAAGTTACCAAATAATTAATAGAGAAATAAGATGCATACCAAATTCTCACTACAAAGGCAAATTCAATTAGACTCATTACACCACCATAACAATTAGGTTAGAACTCTTCTCTTCCATAGGCTTTGCTCATCAAGTGTCCATCATGCCATCAGCTGTATTGTGTCCTTTGGATAATAGTTAGTGACCAACCAATTATATAGATTGCTTTTAAACCAAATTAGTTTTACTTTATGGATTTAAATCTCCATGTAGTGGAAAGACAAAAATTGTATAAATGAGGATCTATATAGACATCCAGCATATCATGTTATCCTCATGCTGTGGTAGGTAAAAGTGACTTCTAACAATTAAACATCTCCATTAATCCAGCAGGTAATCCAATGACGTTTAAAGGTGTGCTGCTTTAAATCTCTATTACTTGCCAAACCTCACACAGTTCTCACATTTTCATACTAAACATGTAATGAAGTAATATTCATCTCGTATTGATGTTAAATTGTGTGCACAATAGCATACATTTATTATATTGCATCTGTGTTGACGGTCACTGAGGACTGAGCCTCTTTTCCAACAGATGGCGCTTGTTAGGAGCTCTGATATGAAACCTCAAATCATGACACAAACGCACATGGCATTATGAGGACAACCAAACCTGTCATTACATTTGAGCTTTATGGACAGCTCGGTTATTGGTCTAATTACATGCTGTCATGCAATTAGGATTTAAAAGGTGTAGCTTAAATCTGCAGCCAGCAGGCGCATTTGTCCTGTTGCACTGCTCTAAAGAAGATACTCTTTTATACATGTCAGATGGACAACTGCATTTCTGTTTGAGAGTAGATTGTTCAAAAACCCTAGAAATATGGTAAATTAAATAGTGCTGCATTCTTTAATATCTGACGGCACAAGTGAATACAGTGTGTATGCACATTTGACTGACACCAGCAAATGGATCGAATTCTTAATATTGCAGCTCTCCTGACTGCAAATATCGTGCAGTAAAGTAGACACATTTAAGGACATATAGATAGTTTAAAACCAAAGCAAGCGAACGAAAAACTGACAAGACTTCTGCGTAAACATGAACTCAGATAATGTTGGTTAAAATTCAAAATAAGTCTCCAAACAAACCTTGGCGAATGCATGGGCTCTTCGCGACTCAGGAGTCCTGCAGGAATCCGGAGGACAGCGAACTGGAGTGAGAGGGAGCACACTCCTAAAAAATCTCCCCCTTTAAAAAAAAAAAACCTCGTACTGTGTGTCACTGTAATCCGAAATCAAACGCACTCAGTGGCTTTCTGAGTGTTAAATCCCGTCTGTGCATGATGTCCAACGATGTGCCTCTCGCTGAAATGAAAGTGCTTTTCTTCTTGTGAGTTGGGATTCATTTAAGCAGCCACTTCTCGCACCCGGGGTGGACTCAGATCTCTGCAGCCATTGCTAAACTCATTTGACTATCGGTCGATCGGCAAGCAGACATTATGATAGATTAAGTCCAGTAATTGCCCTCATCCGCGCGGTGAATCCAAATTGTTAGTTATGGTCGACGTCGGGGAGAGAAGCCCTGAGGGCAAAGCTGCTGCTGCTGCTGCTGCTGCTGCTGCTGCTGCTGCTGCTGCGTACGGCTCGCTGTCTGGATGTTGTGAAACGGCTAGTTAGAAAGTGTGAGAGAGACAATGATCGGCTCTGCATGACGCCACTGGGAGCCCCAAATCTCAGCTGCAAACCCCCCCCCCCCTGTTTTCCAGCTAGTTGTTCTCTCTTTGGGAGATAGAAGTCCACAGATTACGGTCTAAACATTTGATTTGAGAGTTGTGAAGTCTTATTTTTCTGTCACAAGCAAGTGAAACTAAACCCATGTCATGTCAGCTTCCCATGTCATTTTCTTGATTTGTTCCCCATTTTCTGCCTTATTACAGAATCCTTCTGCAAGATCAAGATAGAAGTTTCTAGACCTATTATAACACAAACAAGCGTTTACAACTCATTTAAACTGCTACTTCATTTACACATTGATAGCTTTTTTAATTTCTAACATATAGCACCAATTTTCAGAACTAAATGACCAGATAACCTTTAGCACACTCTCTAAATTACATGTTGGAAACAGACAAATCCATAATAATCAGGATTTAATGGAGGATCAGGTGGACAAACGCTTTGCAGCAGGGAGGAGGGGGGGGGGTTATGCTCAAAGGCAGAGAGGGCTGCATGGGGGCTGCACCTGTGTTTTAGGATCAGACGGCATGCAGGAAAATACCACCACAACCCCCTCTTTCCTTTCCTCTTCAGCTTTTCCAACCTCCACTCCATGGTTCAACATAACTGGTTCTCTCTGCTCCAGTTTCTCTGTGATCAGGAAAATCCATCACACCAGGGAGGGGAGAGATTTTCGGACTGAAGCAGCACAATGACCAATGCGGTGTTCTCACTGTCTGTCAGGCGGGTATTGGATATGCAGAATCATGCAGAAATGCAGAGCTGATGGTTAAAACCGCTGTGATTTCACCATCTATTAACACTGGAGT